ACACACACTCAATCTCTGGCCTGTGTGACAGTCGGCGCTGTACATTGTGTTCTGGAGCCTCTGAACCGGGTGCATACTAGAGTTCAGGCAGGATAGGCCTCTCCTCTCTCCTTCCCACACATCCTTCCTCCCTTCTCAGCTCCTCCTCTGGCTTCCTTCCTCCCTGATGTTCTGAGGATCCATTAGAAGCAGTCGCTTTTATTTTTATTTTGCTTGAGCGGTAAAGAAAACATCCCCACCTGTACTTCAGAAGACCGCTTTGAGTCGGGTTTGTGTAGCTATTTATTTAATTTTTTTACAACAGCAGAAGGCTGATATTTATCCGATAGGCTTACAGAAGGGCCTGGTTTACTTTGGTGTTCCCAGAAGTCTGTTCTCTGAATGAAATCCTCCCTCAGTCCCCCTCCCTGTGGCTGAGTGCGGTGAGCACAAACAGGCCTGGGCTGGTAGCGGCTCAAGCTCCCGAATGAGACCAGTCCAGCAATGTAACATCTATCCAACGCATTTTCTCTTTTCATAGAGGCCAGTGGCCCCCGACGCAGGAAGACGGCCTAAAGGGCCACGTTGCATAGAAAATAAGTAAAATGATGTTGGTTTTCTACGACTTTAACCAATTTCATGCTTTTTAGCCACACTAGCAGCAAGTCTATCTCTCTGTCTTTGGTTCAGACTGAAATATTTCAACAACTATTGCCATGGAAACTTGTACAGACATTTATGTTCCCCAGAGGATAATCCTCATGACTTTAGTCATCCCGTCTCTGCAACAGTTGGGTGGATTGCCGTGAAATTGTGTAGATTTGACATTCCCCTCAGCAATAATTGTAATAACTTTGATCCCTGGACATTTCATTTAGCGCCGTCATCAGTTCCACTTTGTTCAACTTTGAGTTATAACCAGGAGGCAACCTCTGGTTCTGTTGAGTGGAGCCAATGCAAAGGTGTCTTAAAACTTGCATTCTTTCTAATGGCCATCAGGGGGTGACTCCTCCAAACATTGTAAACATGGGTTTATGGTCTCAATCTCTAGTTTCAAGTCTTCTTCAATACAGCATGATGTTCATTTAGTAAATGATGGTCCATTTAGAGTCAAACAGACCATAAAGAGGAGTATGCTTTAGGGCGGGCTACCTGTGATTGACTGACAGGTTGCTGCCACTACCAGAGTGGTATATGCCGTCTCTACGTCACTCCTCCGCATTCCAAATATGGTCACTTCAGTTTATAAAAAATATCAACTTGGCGACGGCCGTAATCCAAGATGGCGACGGCAAAAGCGCCAAACTGGAGGCATTAAAACAGCAGTCAACAAACCAATGGGCGAGGTCACAATGACTAAGTCCTCTTCTTATGTACAGCCTATGGTTATAACCAAATACCTTCAAAATTAAAGACATTGCCATCAGCCTTTGCTGTACTTAGTTTGTTATGCAAATTAACAAATGTTAGCATGCTAACACGTTAAACTAAGAGGGTGACAATGCTCAACATTGTACCTGCTAAACATCGTTAGCACGTTAGCATTGTCACTGTGGGCATGTTCAAGTGCTGATGTTAGAATTTAGCTTAAAGTTCAACTGTCCCGAAGTCGAGCCTTACAGAGCCGCCAACAGGACTGTTGACTCTGATGGTGGGCACATGATACGATTTAACTCTGATACACCTCTTCCCGAAAATCGGAGCGGAAGTCCATGTTCAGTCCATGTTCAGCCAAGATTATCTGGTAACATCAATGGTTTACAGATCCGGTCTTTAAACTCCCAAACCGTTCGCAGCCTCATGGGGGTCTGTCCCGATAATTTCAAACATCTTATATGATATTTTGGGGATAAATCCTGATAACGTCAGTACTTTCTTAGCAAATAAGAGAGACGAGCCAGAGCAGCCGGCTGTTTTTACGAGCAGCGGTAAACATTGTAGCCCTTGAGGGCGTACCACTGTTGATGGATTAAAATCTCACCTCCAGACTCGTAGCGTCGCGTCCGTCTCCATCTTGTTTAAATCTGCTTCCCCGTGAGATCATGTGAGAGACGTCACATGAGGTTGCGCGTTGCTCCCTCTGGCACGATAGTAATAATATCCTGTATTGTGTGACGTGCCATTATTCTCCTGAATCTTGTAATCTGTGCATGTTTGCGATTACAGAGAAGAACATTGGTGAAGTTTCTCAACCAGATTTCAAAATCGGTCAGGATTTTAAAAATCGGTCAGGATTTTAAAAATCCTGTGGTCTGATTCTTATGAAATACTTGAGTTTTACCTTGATAGGACTGTTAAGAAGGGGTCATGAGAAGGTATTGCTTGGCTTTAAAGGTTCCCTAGACATATAGATTTGGAACCAGTGATATAGGGGATCACCTGACCTGAAGAAACCAGGCGTAAAGGGTCATGTTAGTTATTCAGAGCTCTGGGTCCTGGAATGCAACTTTACTTTAAATCCTCCCTTTGAGACATGTTAGGTGAATTTGGCAGTTTTTTTGTCCTCTTATGTGTGTTTGATGACATTGCCAGAGGTGCCGCTTTTTCTTCACTTTCAGCCCTTTGTTCCCTCAGTCCTGCATGTTTCACATTAGGTGACTCCTATTGTGACGAACCGCTTTAAATAAATAAAAAACTCTGTTTCAAATGTCTTGTGGGAGACACGTTTTGTTTTGTTGCTTCATTAATGAGGCGGGTTCCAGTCATTTGTTGTGTTCTTTAACACAACACCACCTCTCTCATCATCTCGCAAAAGAAAAAGTTATCGAGCTTGTCAGCCGTTGCTGTTTGGCACCGAGCACTTCGTTCCTCCGCTCATTGGTGGTTAATGACTGTTGGTTTTACTGGCTTGGGTTTCGTTCTTCACAGCCCCCCCCCCCTTCCATGTGGTTTGTACTAGTTGGCCGTCTTCGTCTCAGTCTTACCCCACCCCTCCCCTGTGGCGGCTGTGGTGTGGGGAGAGGCAGGCTTGGGTGGGTTTACATTTCAGCTCGGGCTCGACACTAACCCACCGTAATGCTGATGAATAAGCCGGGGAGGATTACAGAGGCTGGGAACACTGGGATAGGTTGGGTTTACTGGACTGGGCTGGTCCCTGCTTTGATTTTTTTGTGTGTGTGCGCGTTTCTTGTACCTTTCGTTTTTGTTAAAAATACATGTTATCTTTTGTTTCAAATTCCTTTTTTTTGGGTGGGGTTTTTTTAACATATAATTTTCTTGTCTGTACCTGATCCTGTCCCTGTTGTTTGTGGAGGAGCTGTTCGCGGGAATCGAGGCATCGTAGCTCAAATAGCTGAGTGTACATTGTGTCACTGTTCTCACAGAGCTTGCTTGAACACACACACACACACATCAAATGAGTGTCCAAGCAGTGAGTAAGAGGTAAGACTGGGTGCCAAGACCAGACAAGGTCAAGACTTCTGCTCAGAATGAACCTGACGACTCCATGACAAAAGGGTCTCAGACTGCATGGAGAGAGGGAGAAAGAGAGGAGGGACGGACGGACGGATGGACAGAGGGAGAGAGAAAGTGAAAGTGGGAGACAATGGTGAAATGGAAGAAATGCAGAGGGAGAATGATGGTGGGCGAGGGAGGAATGCAAGAAAGGAAAGATTGATAAAGGCGGGAAGAGTTGGGAGAGTACATAAGAGACTTGTGGGACAGAAAGAGGGAGGGAGGAGGATTTCGTTTAGAGGAAAAGATGGAGAGAGAGATGGAGGGGGCAAGTGGAGATGTATGAAGGGTTCAAAGAGGAGGAAACAATGAACAAGAGACAAGAGGCAGACGTGACTCCCAGCGGTGCCCTGATCTGGGAAGTCGTCAGCTCTGACGTGTGTGTGTGTGTGTGTGTGTGTGTGTGTGTGTGTCCCCGACAGAAACACCGCAGTTATTCAGTATCTCCACAAAGAGACCACTGTACGCTGGGACAGACTCCAGAGTCTCAACACTCATCTTTCTTTCTGTGATTTGAAGCTTCTTCTCTGTAGAACTCCTTAGCAATATGGAGTTTGACCTGTGCCGCCCTCTGCTGGTGGACACGCGGTCTGACACAATAATGCCCAGTCAGTGGAATCTCTGATTCCTTTAAAAAGAAAAAAAGTCTTAGAACATCAGTCTTTATATGACAAATCTGTGCTTAGGGAGGCACAGAGGACTCTGAACAATGAATCCATTTATTTTATCCTCCATCACTATTAGATAGCAACAAGTAGTAGTATTACATTATATGGTTTTATTGTGGACTGATATATTGTGACTCTTAATTATTCATTTCTGGTTTGATTACACCAGGTTTTATGATTTGAAACTGTTGTCTTTCATCACCTTTTATTATTTGAAGGTGTCTGTCTCACTCAACATGTGAATTAGATGCATGAGTGTACATATGATGTATATTCTGTGTGTGTGTGTGTGTGTGTGTGTGTGAGAGCACTGTGACAAATGGAAAGTGTGTTGTGTGATGGTCAATGAAGAATATCTTATCTATCGTATCTTAAAATGTCTTAGTTAAATTAGTGAAAACGTTTCGTCTCCCAGTTGAGAAAACGACCTCACCAAAAAGGGTCCATTTAGTAGCTGTTCTGGAGCTTTCAATCGTTTCACCTGATTTTCATTAGCTGCTGGAGTTCTCCCTGTTTGTGCTTTTTTAAAGAGGACTTTAGCAGCAGCAGACACACTTGGATATTTATATCTACTGCCTTAACAGTTAACAGCTTTTTGACGAAAAAGAAATCCCACCATGAGGTCCATTGAGTAGCTCTTCCGGAGCTTTTTGATCCAATCATTGGACCTCCCTCATTTGTCGATGTTTGTTTTTTTCAGATGAAGACAGAAAAGAAAGTGTTTTTATACAGCACTTTACCACAATCCCAACAATTGAAGTCCTTGTTTTTGTTTCAATCTCTAATAGTGCAGGTGTATTAGCTGCTCAAAACAGCTTCACAATGTTCTTTTGAAATGCACGCTCCCACATCTCTTCTTCTAAATGTCCGATGCCTCCCTTTTTTTGTGTGGTTGTGCAGCTGAACTGGAGTTTGTTCAGATCGTCATCATCATCGTGGTGATGACAGTGATGGTGGTGGTGATCATCTGCCTGCTCAACCACTACAAGCTCTCCACCTGGTCCTTCATAACACGGCAGAGCCAGGCCCGCAGGCACGACCATGCCCTGCAGCAGGTCAGTAACGTCTTCTGTGCGTTGGGGAGGGAATGACAGACTCCAAAATAAAATGTATATATATTATACTGTGTGTTTTGGGTTGTATTTCATTGTTCTGGCGCTGCTCTGCCCCCCCCCCTTGCCAGTAACATTTCACTCTAAAACTGACAGCGAGTGAACAACTGTCCACTCTCACTGTGACAGTGCACTTCTTTATTTTCCCCGACGCAGGACAAACACAGCGCACCAGTTTGTTCCCAGTAAAGCCGCGCTGAGCTAAATGAATCCTCTTCATCCCCCCCGTCGCAGTCTCTGTCCCAGTTTCACTGCGGCAACGGCCCCCGCTTCAGTCTGTTCAGGTGAACTCGCTGAATTGGTTTCTTCAGAGCCAGACTATGTCGGGCCTTGATGTTTAATTCACTACAGTGCCGTCTAGACAGCGGCGGCTCTGCCCCCCCGAATATGATCCGTGCATTGACACACAGCTCCAAGACCGGTATCTGACAAACAGAATGAAAGCTTTATCTCCCTTTACACATTATTTATTTATATCCCGTCTTAATCCCTGCTCCGAAGAAAACAAAGATTATGCAAACGGAACACATAGCAACAACAAAAAATCCCCAAATGCAACATCAGAAAGCAACAAAGGCCTGTAGCAATTTGGCCCCTTGACAGACACTGAGCTACCAGGACTCATACATGTTGGTCCCCCTTTTCATGTTCCTTTTTTTCTTTTTCCTCACTAAATGTTGCCGGCTGTGCCCCCTTTTAGAAAAGATCCTGAAGTCAAATGCAGACGAAGGGAAACAGCAATTATTTGATGGCCTCGTGTATTCGCTGTCGCTTTCATCCTCCTTTTCTTTTCTTTTTTTTTAAGAAGGGAGCCGTCTGCCGCCTTTTGTTGTCCCAGCTCCCAAACGGGGCCGAGATTTTGTGTTTGAAGCCATTGGGCTTTTCTCAGCATTTGTGTTTTATCTTTTGTGTCCTCCTCAAGTTGTTACTCTTAAAATTCTTCTTTTTTTTTTTTAAAGAAGAAAGTTTGTAGAGTCAGCTTAATGGTGTCACATCAAAAAAACGTCCCAGACATAACAAACAACAAAGAAAGCAGTAATGACTGTTGATTTCTAAAGCTCCATCTGTGAAAGGAATCTAACACATTGTCAAATGCTAATAATGTCTCATAATTGTTAGAAACATGAATATGTGGGAAGCACTTGCTGATAAAGCGTCAGCCTTAAAGACAGATCTTAAAGCCACCTGGGGACTTTTCAAAGCCTCATTCTTTCTTGTTTCTGTCTCGATGTGTAGGACGGGTGTCTGTGGCCTTCAGACAGCAGCTCTCGACAAGGTGCCTCGGAGGTAAGACCACCACCACCCTGACCCCCTGTTTAACCCAAGCCAGCCGAGCCGTGTTCACTGTGGGGACGCAGCGGGCTATAGCTACACTTATACAATATTTCTAGATAATGTGAGATATTTACAGCACCGTGACAGCAGCTGTATGTAGAACTGTGTCCTCTCTACTCTACCGGGTTACGAGCAGGCGGCAAACTCCGGTTCTGCAGAGTGAAGCCGATGCGTCAGTGTCTTAAAACCTGCATTCTCTCTACTGGCCAACAGGGGGCGACTCCTCTGGTTGCACAAAGAAGTCTGATTGTATAGAAGTCTATGAGAAAATGACTCCACTTCTCTCTGTATTTATTCCCTCAGTAAAGAAATCCCCAAACTCAAGGCCTCAAAACATCTCTCCACAAACCAATGGGTAACGTCATGATGACTACATCCACTTCTTATACAGTCCATGGTTACGAGCATGAAGAAGTATCATCATGTGTTGGGCAGGGCTGGAGTAGAAGATCTAAAATTACTCTCCTGATAAATTGACACATTTACTGCATCTCAATTTATTGAATACATATTTAATACATAAACACGTGCCGTAGCTTACTTTTATATGTTGGAGACTGGAATTATTACAGTATGCCCAACTAAATATAGGACTTGTGGATTGGTCTTAGAGCCTCGCTGGTCCACTCAGCCTCCTTACGGATTCATCCCAAACCGAGAACAAACCAGTATTTCTGAAGGAACTCCCAATGTCTTTAAATTCTGGAAAGCCCTCAAGTCGAAGATGAATGCGCCTGTAACGTTTTTTTTCTTATCTTCAAATTCTTGGTGGAGGGTGTTGACTTCAGCTGTATTAGCTATAGGGTTAGCTTACAGGGACGCCGTCATCTTCTTGTCATCCTCTAGCCATTCTGTCCTCTTCTGGACTTCACACATCTGCAAAGACAACATTCCTTCGACTGAGTCTGTAGTTCCACGTTTGTCATTCAGACACTCATGAATCAACAGACGTTTCCTGCAAATTTGCAAACATTTCAATGTATCTTTAGCTCCATGCAGTAGCCGTGTCTTCCCGGACTGTTGCTGTCGCTAAAGACATATTTTTTTGCTGCTTCCACATCGTAATTTAAGTGTTTCTAACTATAAAAGCAGGATAAGCCGTCTCCACCAACCAACCAAGTCACGTGACTCTTGCTTAAAGCTTTATTTTGTTGATGCTGTATATCAGAATTAATAGACTCATGTTGTCACAATTCTCATAACTCTGATGTTACCGTTACCTGGAGAACTTCCTCTGTGGCTTCATTGAAAAGGTTCAATATGTTCAGCATGAATCTTTTTTTTTTGCTGCCTTTACAAGAAAGGGCAATTTGTGTTGAAAGTGGAGAACCCTCCCTCTTCCTGTTTTGTGCCATAAAACTAACTCCTGGTGCCGTAAAACAACCCGGCAGAATTCCTGACAAACTGATATGTTTGTGGTCTTGTTTCTAAGAAACCTACTTAAACAGTGTTTGGAAATGACTTTAAGATGATAAATCGTTTCAAGTAGCACATTTAACAGTTTGACAACGTGGAGTGGCAGTATAGACTATAAAGACGGCAACTAAAATGAATAAAGCAGAGAGAAAGGGATCTCTTTTGTATAATTTACTGGTTTCTTTCTGGCTCGTCTTTGTTTCTCAGTTGGCTGAGCACTCATCCATGTATAATTGTGTTGTGGTTACAGGAATACTATCGCGGGACAAAGATCCTGACATTTGCATTTTGGTTGCTTGTAAATATTTGATCATCCAGGAATTGAAGCCTGTAAGTCGCACCGGGTACGGCTGGCACTGCACTCCAAACGGAATCAGATTTGGCGTGTCCTCAAAGACTGGCGAATCCAGAACCGCAAACAAATGGCAGTACACTTGCTGTGAACGGTGATCTGTTTGCTCGACGGCGTCCATGCCAGATGGAGGAGCTTAAGAGTCGCGGTGGGAGGAAGTGAAAACTAAGAAGCCCTCGTTTCGTGGAAGAACACAACCGGTCGCGCGGTGTGTCATTGATAACTTACATTGCCGTGTGAGACGTTTCGCCGGCCAGTCCGTGGCAAGTTTGCGTGAGCGTAAAGCGCAGGTTTGCACCAAAACAAGCACGCTAGATTCGCTTTCGTTTTGGAGCACGCTGCCAGCTAAAAGCCTTATCTATAAGCAAAAAACAGAAGAAAAAAAAAGGAGAGGAAGAGAGAATAGGGGGACGTCAGGTGAAGGGAGGCAGAAGCGGTGTCACCATTAAAGCGCCCAGAGAAAAGTAAAAAGGCCACGGAGAGACAAACACAGAGGGACAGGCAGCCAATGAGTGTGGGTGGCCGATAGATGCAGGGTGTGTGTGTGTGTGTGTGCGTGTGCGTGTGTGTGTGTGGCTGTCTGGCTGTGGCTGGGGGGGTGGATGGTTTTTGGTGCGTCATTAATCAGCAACACCTCCCCTGACACTGTCTAGACAGCCGTCTGAGATCTGCCCTGCTCCGCTGCGCTCTGCTCCCTCTATCAGCCATACACCTTTCTCCCTCCCTCCCTCTGTCTGCCTGTCTATCTGTCTGGCTTCATACTTTTTCTTTCTGTCTTTATCTTTCCAGCTCTCTTTCTCCCTCTTTATCGTCCACAGCTCTTTCTTCTTCTCTCCTTTCTGCTCTCTCTCTTTCTCCCTCCTTATCTCAGTAGCCTTTCTTTTTAATCCTTTCAGTTCCACTTTCTCTCTCTGTCTCTCCATTTCAATTGCCCTGATCCTCTATCCTCCTCTCCCCCCTCAGGGTTTTATTTCCTCCAGTCTGTTCTCTTCATCCATGCTGCCTTGTCAGTGGGGGTTGACTATTAGAGCCACAGTCACTAATTGAAATGGGTTCCCTCTGATAATGACTTGCACAACAGTAGCGATGTGTTGAATTGGACAGAAATGAGGAAATGGATCCTGCACAGTTACAGTCTGTGGAGCTAATTGAGGTGAAGATCTCTGACAAAGGCTGGAGCATGAACCAACACGTTGGATGTTGTGTGGTCGTAGAAGGCAATTTGGATCTTTTCTCCCTTTCACTGTAACTACACGGTTATGTCTTTAATAATGGATTGGGGATACATCGGTGAGTCCTGTTGCTGCCACAGGATCATCCTTCATTGGAATCAAGTGTTTACATTGAATATTGAATTCAGTTCAGATATACTCGTGAATATAGATTGTATATAATGTATACACATGTGTATGTATGTACTGTATGTGTATATATATATATGTGTATGTATGTACTGTATGTGTATATATATATATATATGTATGTGTATGTATGTACTGTATGTGTGTATATACATATGTATGTGTATATATATATATGTGTATGTGTATATGTATATGTATGTGTATATATATGTGTGTGTGTGTATATGTGTGTATGTATATGTATTGTGTGTGTGTGTGTGTGTGTGTGTGTGTGTATGTATATGTATTGTGTGTGTGTATGTATATGTATTGTGTGTGTGTGTGTGTGTGTGTGTGTGTGTGTGTGTGTATGTGTATGTATGTATGTATGTATGTATATATGTATGTATGTGTATGTGTATATGTATGTATATATGTATGTGTATATGTATGTATATGTATATATGTGTATATGTATGTATATATGTGTATATGTATATATGTATATATGTGTATATGTATATATGTATGTGTGTGTATATGTATGTATATATGTATATATATATATATGTATGTATATATGTATATATATGTAT